GTTTGTCATATCTTCAATTGCGGTACAATTTGTTCTCTGGCTCTATTCCAGTTCAGCTAACAAAACTTGAAAATCTCCGATATTTGGACCTTGCATATAACAGGATATCAGGAAGTATACCTCCTACTTTAGGAGGTTTAAAAGCAATGATTCAAGGTAATAGTACAAAATATACTAATCCCTTGGTGTGGAATTACTATAGGCCAAGAAATCCAAACGACTTCAATGATGGGTACTACGTAAAATATCATAATAGCCTACTGGTTGTGGTAAAAGGTCAGGAACTTTATTACACCAGTACACTCGTATATATGGTTGGTCTTGATTTTTCCTGCAACAATTTAGGAGGAGATATCCCAGAGGAAATAACATCTCTTGTTGGACTGAAGAACTTGAACTTCTCCCATAACCATTTAACAGGAAATATTCCAGAGAAGATTGGTCTCCTGAGATATGTGGAGTCTCTTGACCTATCATTCAACATGATATCAGGCGAAATCCCTTCAAGTCTCTCAGACATGGCTTCACTGAGCTACTTGAACCTGTCATTCAACAATTTGTCCGGAAGAATACCATCAGGGAATCAGCTACAGACACTTGGTGATCCAGATTTCATATACATCGGCAATTACTATCTCTGTGGACCTCCTCTTTCAAGGAATTGTTCTGGACCGGAGGTAACTACAGGCCTTCTTGAAGGGCATTCAACAGAGAAAACATACTTTCACCTTGGGCTGGCTGTAGGATTTGTGATGGGACTTTGGTTAGTCTTTATTGGCTTATTATTTCTGAAGACCTGCAGATTTCGCTACTTTCAACTGTCTGACAAACTGCAGGACAGCATACAAACATCTGTGTGGAAAACATCTGCAGAGTGGTTTCACAAATCACAGAGGATTCAAAACAAGAAGGGACAAGGCCAGGCATCTGTCTCTGAAGGCACATGAATTTAGAACTCTCTTCGTTTTCATCTCGTTGTTTGTTCTTCAGATTTACCCCTTTTGCACGTGTAGTTTGGCAACAGAATCTTCTACCAAACTAATACTATTGGCGTGTCCAGTCTCATCTTCATGTTCTTTCAGGTTACCCCTTAAATTTGTGACAATGTGAGAATTAATTTCCCCAGAATTTACCAAATCAGGTACCACATTGTGCGGGTGAAAATCCATCTTTCCCTTTCCTAGTTTCCTGTGTTTGTTGAGAAGAATGCCAGAAGAATTTATGCTGCCCAGAACAACATATGAATACAGCTTCTTAGATTAATGCATAAGCATATACACTAGCGGAGTAGCTGAGCAAACAAAAGGGACTTCACTCACAAGCCGAAAGGGGGGAGAGTGGAACGGTTACCTGGTAGTAGAAGAGGAGGTGGCGCATCGCATCACGTGCATGCGCCGGCGAGATGGCCATGCAGGCCGCCGGCAACCACCGCCGGCTTGATGAGTCGACGGCGGCGTCCTGGCTCCCGGGGTCCCCGGCGGTGGAGGGGCGGTTCACGGTAGTCCTCGCGGTCACTGCCGCAGGCTGATTCGCTTGCTCCCCTGCGCTGGAAGCGTGTGGATCCTCTGTGTTTGCGTTCGGAGGATTTTCCCAGTCGAAATTTGAGAATTTTCAGAATATGCCACCGAATAGTAATACACGCTGTTTCAGGATTTGCCACTCAATTCACACTACTTTCAGAATATGCCATTGAGATGTGAATTTTTTTCATTCCGTGCCACTCCGTCTCACGAAAGCTGCGTGTCGTCAGTTCCTTCCTCTCGCGACATTTGCCTGCGCGCATCCGGCCGCCACCGGCAAGGTCCTCCTCTCCCACGCCGGCGAGGTCATGTTCCCCACATAGGCGACCTCCTCCTTCCTGCGTCGGCGAGGTCCTCCTCTCCCACTCCGGCGAGGTCCTCCTTCCCACGTCGGCGAGGTCCTCCTCTCCCACACCGGCGAGCTCATGTTTCCCCAACCGACAAGCTCCCCCCCCCACGCCGGCGAGCTCCTCTTCGTGCTTGTATCGTCCCCGAGCTCAGCCGCCGCCACATCTGGTTGCCGCCACCGCGCCTCGAGCCGTCGCTGGTCCAACCTCCACCACTGCGGCCTCCAGCTCGTACCAAGCTCAGCCATCGACGCCCTGCGCTCTCCACGGCTCCACCACCGGTCTACCGCGCTCCTAGGGAGAGAGAAGGCGATTCGCTGCGCCTCCTAGAGAGAATGGAGGATGGGCTCGCCGGGACTCGTCGGCAGTGGCGCCGGACGAACGAGTGGCGAACGGAATCAATGGCGCCGGCACGGACAGAGACAGAAGTGGCATGGGATGAAAAAAAATTCACATCTCAATGGCATATTCTGAAAGTAGTACGAATTGAGTGGCAAATCCTGAAATCAACGCGTATTCGGGGGCATATTCTGAAAATTCTCAAGGTGGAGGGGGAAATAGGGTGGATGGATCAATCGATCCAAATCGAGCCACCCCGTCACTGTGTTCGCTGCGACCTCACAAGTGGGGCCAAGGGCAAAACCATCCGCTTGGCTATATGGAGAAAAGAAAATGTCAAAGAACCTAAGAAAATAGGAAAATGGGCTGAAAGTGGTGTGGAAAGAAGGAATTCACGTTTCTAGTAGTAGATTCTGAAAGTGCTGTGAATTAGGTGGTAAATGTTGTGAGTGCTACCAATTCGGTGGCAAATAGTGAAAATTCTCATTTAAGTGGTGGATTTGGGATAGGGGAGAGTACATAAACTACTAAAATGTACTCCCTCTGTCCTTAAATATAAAGTATTTTGGTGGGATGTGGTATATCCTAGTACAACGAATCTGGCCTCTGCCGTCATCCCTCCGCACCCGCCGCTGCCGCTGCCCTCCCCCCCTCCTTAGGCTACGTTGCCGCCGTCACTCTTCCGCCAAATCTGGGAGAGAGGGAGGGGAGGAGTTGCACCGCCGCCGCCCCCTCCCCCCCTCCAGTGGTCAGCAGGCGGATCCAGGCGCTGTCCCCGTTGTCGTCGTGCCCGGCAGCTGACCAAAGAGCCATCAGTGGGGAAAGAGAGTAGGTGGAGGGAGAGGAAAGAAGATGGACGAGGACCCGGCCAGGACTTCACCAAATTTAATAGGGTCCGCATAATTTGCAGGCGGACCACTTAAGGTCCCGCTTGCGAAAATCATATTTTTCCAAGCGAAACCTTAAGAGGTCCACAGGCGGACCTCTTTAATTAGACTCCGCCTGTAAGATACTTCCTCCGTTTCATATTATAAGACTTTCTAGTATTACCCACATTCATATATATGTTAATGAATCTAGACATATATATGTGTGCCTAGATTCATTAACATCTATATGAATATGGGCAATGCTAGAAAGTCTTATAACATGAAACGGAGGTAGTATTTAATTGGGTCCGCATAATTTTCGCAAGCGGGGCTAGAACTAGGGTTTTTTAGGTATTTTTGCAAACAGCTGTAAGAGATTTTTTTTTTTTGCTGCCTGGAAAAATAAATGTCAGCGTTGGGAAAAATAGTTTTACTAGTAGTGACTGTGCCTGTAAGCAATGGATGCGAAGGTGCTTTTTCATAGGACCTATGAAGATTGTCTTCACCATGCGATGGTCCCGTGCTTTGGTGGAAGATTATGGGGTTCTTGCATGTCAAGGTTGAAATGCCCCGTTAAGGGCATGACTCGACATCACTTGTCTCAGGAAGATGAAGATAAAATTGATCTATATTATTCTTTAACTACAAATCTCTTGCAACAAAATTATTGAAAAATGCAAATAACGGGATGATTGTTACCTGTTTCGGTGGAATAGTATGAAGTCTGACGATGGCTAGTGTTGTGAGAGATGGGTCCGGATCCCCTAGAGTTGGCTTCAACTCCACCTGGTAGATTTGGGCTAATCTCAGCCACTATTTGTCACCGACGGTTGAGATTAAATCAATACACCTCAACATGTCCTTAGTTTTGTTTCTTCATTCTCTAATCTTACCTTTTTCTGTATAAACAAGTCCTCTACCATCGGCTCTATTTGCAAGCTGTACAACAGCATCAAGGAGCTTGGTGCGATGTATGAACATGGCTTTGCTTATAGTGAGCTGGCCCAGTTTCTGCACCATCGCAAAATCCTGCGCATGTTCACCATCTACAAGACTACAATACCACGCTTCTCAACAAAAAAAAAGTTCTTCTATGTTGATTGGAGGAGGAAGAAGATCTTCTTGAATCCATATACATCGTTTTATTCCTACGGTTGAGATATATTCTATTTCCAACATAATCAAGAAAATAAATAAATGTGATCTATGTGCTTGACTCATTTGGGGAGGAATTAAGTATTAGCAAAAAAAACATGAAAATGGATTAATATTTTGCAAAAAAAAACGCACCATTTAGTATTTTGAAAAACATGCACGTGAAAAACAAGAGGGATGAGTTAGGAAAGAAGAGGGATGAGTTAGGAAAGGAGGGGGAAGAACACAGCCTGATTTTTATCTGATGGTGGTGAGGGCCTGAGGGGGGTGGCATCCTGAATCTGCACGTCGTACAAAGCGTGCGTGTGATTGTCTCTTGCATTTTAGGAGTCCAGTAATAGCTGCACGTTTACATGCATGTTCATGCCATGAATAAAAGGGGAGAAAGAAAAAGAACAGAAAATGCTGCGGCAGTTGAGCAGCGCAAGAGTCCCCGAGTTTTTCTGCTCAGTTCTGTTCTTGCAGGACGGTGAATAGTGTGCCAGCCTTTTTCGGCTGAGTATAATTCAATAATTGCTGAGTAGGATTCGACAAGTGTTTGGCTGTGTGTTCGCGCTGAGTCTACAGCGCGTTCGATTGGGAAGGCCGGAAGGGGACACATGACATTCCTGAGGCTTGCTGTGGAAGCCGTGCGGTGAAAGCTACTACCTCCGCTTCAAGTTATAAGATGTTTTAACTTTAGTTAAAGTCAACTGCTTTAAGTTTGATCAAGTTTATATAAAAAAAGTAGTAACATGACCAAGTTCGGATCGGTCATCAACTTCAGTTGTTGCGATAAGTAGATCGACACGGCACAGAAACAGGTTATATGCTCCCACGGGGCAAACCAAACAAGAAGGAGCAGGTCTAGATTTATTAATGAGACTTCTATTATCAGTACAAAACATTATTCTATTACAAGTAATTGAGGTGGTAGTACAAATAGAGACATTCATTACATTAGAAAAAAAAAGAGCGGCTTAGCTTGATTTCTACGGCCAGAAGAAGTCATTGTAGAAAAATCTCAATGAGTGAAATAGCTTAGATCGTAAGAATACTCACAAATTAATGCATACCCTAGAGTTTTTTTTTTTGAAATACACAAAAGACTTGCATATCATTGCATTAAGAGGAGTAAAGTAATACAAGACAGACAGAGAAGAACAGGGAGGAGAGAGGAGGGGAGGAGAAAAGGAGAAACGGAAAAAGACACACTAAATCACTGATCTCCCAAAACTATTGTGTGACCTAGACCTAGTTGAGGTATTGCAGTCCTCGCCAATCTCCAAAGTGTGGCTTCTTCTGACATTGCCTTGGCGCCCTCAGTCCCGCTGCGTTGGCGGTGCTCGAATACTCTCAACCATTCCTTTCCTTCCAAATCGACCAAGCCCCGGGAACGATGATGGTATCGAACCCGCACCGTTGCTTTGCCGGTATGGTATGTCGACAATCACACAGCCAGGAGTAGAAGGGAACTTCGTTGACAGGCAAGCAGTTGCATACCCTGGAGTTTACTCTTCCATTATCAAAATAAAACAGTGACAGCCTTAAAAATTTTCTTTGACGTGCAACAGAGGGAGATTCAGAGTAGCTAAAGTTGATATTGACACATATTGCAGTCTGTAATACTGACATGTTCGAGGAATCTCTTCCAAACATATACTGCACTAGTTCTCAACGAGGGTTGCATTGCATTGCGTAGCGTGGACTATCACTAACACACAATGGCTAGAATGGCTAGAACTCCAGTTCATCCACGATCGTCCTCGATTGTAGCTGCATTCACTTACCTTTTGCTAGTCCTCTTCCGAGACGCCATCACCACCGCAGCTGCATCTCCCAAAGCTCCGGCATCCACCAATGGCTGCATTGCAGCCGAGAGGGATGCCCTGCTCTCGTTCAAGGCTGGCATCACAAGAGACCCCAAGAAACGCCTCAGCTCATGGCTAGGTGAGAATTGCTGCCAGTGGAGCGGTGTGAGGTGTAGCAACAGGACGGGGCATGTTATCATCCTCAACCTCAGCAACACTTACTTATATTATGATGATCCGCATTATTACAAGTGCGCCCATGTTGATTTTCCGCTGTATGGGTACATAAGTTCGTCTTTGGTAAGTCTACGACAACTGAAACGCCTAGATCTTAGTGGGAACGTCCTTGGAGAAAGTATGCCAGAGTTCTTGGGCTCCTTTCAAAGTTTGACCCATCTCAACCTAGCACGTATGGGTTTTTACGGCAGAGTACCTCATCAGCTTGGTAATCTGTCTAATTTGCAGTTTCTTGACATAACATCTGAAATTTATGACCATCCTCCTATGCACACAGCTGACATCTCATGGTTGGCACGCCTTCCTTCATTGAAGTATCTTGATATGAGTTATGTGAATCTAAGCTCAGTGGTTGATTGGGTCCGTCCAGTGAATATGCTTTCCCGTCTTGAGGTTCTACGCCTTACAGGGTGTTGGATCATGAGTTCATCATCAACAGGACTCACCAATCTGACAAGCCTTGAAACACTTGACCTCTCTGAGAACACTTTGTTTGGCACGGTAATTCCCAACTGGGTGTGGAGCATGAAGACGGTTAAGATGCTTAACCTGGCCTCATGCCAGTTGTCTGGTTCATTTCCTGATGGATTAGGCAACTTAACTTTGTTGGAAGGCCTTAACCTTGGAGGTGATAGCTACCATGGAAGTAATAGCTTCGAAGGGACGCTGCCATCAACATTAAACAACACTTGCAATCTGAGGGTCCTATACCTCAATGAGAATTTGATCGGCGTGGAAATCAAAGATCTGATGGATAAGCTTCCAAGCTGTACTTGGAATAAATTGGAGGAGCTTGATTTGTCTTATAATGACATTACTGGAAACCTGGATTGGCTGGGGAGCCAAACTAGCTTAACAAGCCTTTACCTATCTTGGAACAAATTCAGTGGTCATTTGCCCTTGCTAATCAGAGAAATGGCTAATTTGACAACTCTAATTCTACATAACAATAATATCAGTGGTGTGATCTCAAACCAGCATCTTTCAGGCCTTGAGAGTTTGGAGAGAATCATTATGTCTTATAATCCTTTAAAGGTAGTGCTGGACGAAAGTTGGAGCCCTCCCTTTGGATTGTTCGATGTTTATTTTGCATCTTGCCAACTGGGTCCAGAATTTCCTGTGTGGATCAAATCGTTGAATAATTGTTACTCAATTGATGTTTCAAGTTCAGGCATAAAAGATGAGCTTCCTAATTGGTTCTGGAATTTAGTTTCTGACGTTGCAAACGTAAATATATCTCATAATCAGATCAGAGGGAAGTTACCAGACAGTTTTCAAGGTATGTCAACTGAAAAGCTCATTCTAGCTTCGAACCAGCTGACTGGTCGCCTGCCATCGTTACAGGAAAATCTCTATTATTTGGACATTTCCAGAAACTTATTGTCTGGTCCGCTGCCATTTCATTTTGGTGGCGCAAATCTTGGTAAACTCATTCTCTTTTCCAACCATATCAATGGCAGCATTCCACAGTCCCTTTGCAAGATGCACAATTTGGGTGCCTTGGATTTAGCAGACAATTTTCTGGTAGGAGAACTTCCTCACTGTTTGCCGACAGAACTGAAACCATCGACTGGTGGTAGTTTTATACATTCCACAAGTCTGAACATTCATATCCTTTTACTAAGCAAAAATCAGCTTTCTGGAGAGTTCCCTATGCTATTGCAATCGTGCCAAAGCATCACCATTCTTGATCTAGCATGGAACAAATATTCTGGAAAGTTGCCGGAGTGGATAGGTGAAAAGTTGCCATCCATAGTAATTCTGCTATCAGGTCTAATAAGTTCTCTGGTCATATCCCAGGTGGTTTTACCAAACTTGATCATCTGCGGTATTTGGATATAGCTAATAATAGTTTTTCTGGTACTATCCCACAATCCCTTCCGTGCTTGAAAGGAATGATCAACGAACCAGAAAATTTAGAAACATGGTTCCTATTTGGAGAGGCACTGGAAAACGGATTCGGAGCTTTCGATGTATTCGGCCTGTTCCATTATAGCATATCATGTGTTCTGCAAGGTCAACAACTTGAATACAGCAAGGGACTTGTGTACTTGGTGGGCCTTGATTTTTCTAGCAACAAATTGTCTGGCCATATTCCAAAGGAGATTGGTTCTCTTGTCGAATTGGTAAATTTGAATCTGTCCTGGAACCAGTTAGCAGGAAACATTCCGGATCAGATTGGTGAGCTGCACCAATTAACCTCCCTTGACCTATCATATAATCAATTTTCTGGAGAAATCCCTTCAAGCCTATCAAATTTGACATTCTTGAGCTATCTGAACTTGTCTTACAACAATTTATCGGGAAGGATTCCTCGGGGACATCAACTGGACACACTCAATGCAGATGATCCATCTTTGATGTACATCGGCAACCCAGGTCTTTGTGGTTATCCCCTTGCAAAGAATTGTCCTGAAAATGGGACATCTCAAGGTCAAACCGTTAAAAGTCATCACGATGGTTCGTTCTGTGCTGGTCTCAGTGTGGGGTTTGTGATTGGAGTTTGGATGGTTCTTGCGTCACTTTTGTTCAAGAAGAGTTGGAGGTTTTCTTACTTTCACCACTTTGATAGGCAGTATGACAGATTGAATGTGTTTCTTACTGTCACTTCAGCGATATACCTCCAAAAGGCTACACGATTTAAGGATGGAAGAAGCTGAGTGGATTCCTACATATAAGGGCTTTCTACCTGAGAAAATTTTCTCGTACTTGAGAAGGTACCGAGAGCTACTATATTTTCTAGACTAAAAAATGTGGAACTTCTCGATATCTTCTCAAGGATCATCTAATCAATCGGAAGTTGAAAAATAATCCTACATTACATCTTTGTAATATTAGCCCATGTGTGGCTCTCTATGTTGCCTTCTTGTCTTGTTTTCAAGCACTCGTATTAGAAAATAATAATCTCGCAGCATATCGTGCACAAAATTTTACGTGTATGAGTTTTGTTTCAATCACTTCCTTTGATCAATATATATTCAATCTGTTAGTTCATTCTGAGCTCATGTTATGAGCCCCTATATATATTAACTATGTTAGTTGACTTACGTTCACAGCAGTGGCCAAAAGATGAATGAAATTGCTTAGCAGTTAGCAGAAATGAAGCAAGCAGGAAGGCAGGAATAAGAAATAGCCATCTGAATTTGAATTCAGAAATATCTACTCCTCTGTTAGCATCTGAATTTTCTCCTCGTTTTTAGTGGTCAAAATTTTGGTTCTATTTTCTGGAATCAAATGAACACTACTGCTATATAGTCTATATGATTGGTTCTATTTTCCGGAATCAAATTCGGTTTTCAGTCAAGACTACAAGAAAGCTTAAAGGCTAGCAGCCTAGCAGAGACTGTACCTGATGGCCGATGCAAGCATGAATATTGGAGGATTTGCCTTGTTTGGCCTGTTTGTTGGTGATCGACTAATAAAGCCATTGTCGAGGAGTTGGATCAAACCCTAGTTCCCTAATCCGGCAATCCCCATTCCCCACCACCGCCATGGACAGTCGCAGCGAGCCGCCGCCGGAGAAGGAAAGGAACCGAGCAACACCACCATCGATGCCCTCGGTGACGAGCACATCGAGGAGATCTTTCTCCGCCTCCCCTCCCCTCCCCTCCCCTCCGTGGCGCCGCGTCCGCGTGGTGGTCTCCTCCAGCCCGGAGTTCCGCCGCCGCTTCCCCGCCCTCCACCCGGCTGGCGCCCCCATCCTCCGGCTCTTCGCCGACAGCAGCGGCTTCAATCCGCTCCCGGCCTTCACGCTTTCGGCGCTGCCTCCACAAGGACTAGCTCGTCGCCGGCGGGGGCGACGGGGACTTCTTCCTCACCGCCGCCGCGGCGGCGACGACGGCGCGCCCGAAGGATGATGAGTCACGCACATGGGCCTTCCTCATGTGCTCAGGCTTAGCTTTGGGCCCACTTGGCTGCGAGAGGAACAAAAGAATCCAGGATTACTACCAAACTGGGCAATGGATGCGTTGCGTGCAGATAGTAGATCAAACGAATTCGACCGTGGTAGTCAAAAGCTATATTTTTCGCGTATTGTGTAGCCGTCTGTTTTGCAAATACATCACTACCAAAATTCTATGAAGGTTTTGCAAACTTCGATGATGTATTTTGTGTAAGAATGCCACATTAAAAATTCATTTTTTTAACGAGATAAATCGATTGTTAACTTTGTATGTCTCTAAAAGTATTTTGGGTTTTTTTTTTTAAAAAAACCCAGTCCGATGGTATATTATAAAACAATTAATTAAGTCATCGGTATATACTTGCGGTGGGGCACGCCACCATGCCTGCAGAAGTAGCTTGTTCCGCGGTGATGGTGAGCCACTAGGGCCATCATCAAATCCCCATCCCACCTCCTCCGCCGCCACCCGTGCACTGTGGCTAGCGTCGTGCAGGCGGCGTAGCGGGAGCTCGCCACCATCCCCACCATAGATGTGAGCCAACTGGCTAAGAGAGGGGACATCGACAAGGCAACCAAGCTCCGACCGGTGTTCCAGTCGAGGGACGGACGATGACAACGGCGATGGCGAGAGTTTCCAACCCAAGGGCTGAAGAAAGAGCAGACGAAAAGGTATGAAGTGCAGTGGATGTGGCGTTCGCGAAGCAAGCGTGGATGCGGCGGAAGAAATCGCCGAAGTCAGCGAAGAAGCCCCTCTTTGTGTGGACCTCTTGCCCATCTTCCTGTTCGTTGTCCTCCCCCTCCTCCCTCCATGACCCTCACCGCACCAAACGTGCTTCCGCCACCCACATATCCACCTTTTCTCGCCACAAATCCATCCATCCACTGCGCGACTGGTGCCCACCTCCTCCAACTACACATCCATGATCCATCCATCCGTGGCCGTGGTCGGCCGCCCTTCTCTTCGCCACCCGCGGTCGGCCACCTTTCTCCCTATCGCCTGTTGGATGGCAACCGTCGCCTCCTCTTGCCACAAATACATCAATCCATCGTTGTGATCGGTTGCCCTTTTCCCCACCACCCGCCAGATGGTGGACGCTGCCCCTATCCACGCCGCTTGCGCCTACCTCCCGTTACCTAAACGGCCTTATCCTTCTAGCCCTACCTTATCCGCCTGTTGCCTTCTAGGGAAGAGGCTGCTAACATGTGGGGCCCGCGTGGGGCCCACGTTGACTCAGCACAAACTGACTAGAGTCAAAGCGCCACGTCGTACGAAACCAAGAGCCATATTACTTAGGGATGAAAGTTGACACAGTTTGTGAGTTCAGGAACGGGTTATACCTAGACCTAAAGTGAACTTATTCCTTCACCCAGACACAATCCACAAGCAGCTTCAGCCTTGTGCCTCGGGCCTCGCCTAGAGTTTAGGCTCGGTCTGTTCGATTTTGTTATATATTTATCGATAAATTTTCTCTCTAAAATTAGTTTAATTATACTATAACTCGTATATAACTACAGTGTAACTTGTATATAACCTTCTTATAATTTTAAACTTTTAGATTTTCTTTAAGGCTTATGCAAGTGAGAGAAAAAAATCACAGTGCGAGGGGGTTCGGTCCCAAGATCTCCGTTTTACGGTAAAAGCATGGTAATGAGGGATTTTTGAAAGTTATACATTATAGTTATATGCAAATTACAATGTAATTATATCACGATTATATTATTACTTACATCTGTTATATTTTCGGAGGAAAATTTGTCAATAAATATATAGGCAGTCCCGGTCCGTTCGTGTTCCACGCACTGTGGGCACTGTGAATGTGTGACTAAATGGGCCGAGCCCAACTACTATAGCTAAGTCGCGCTGTCCATCTCACCATCTCCCGGAAGGCAAAAAGTACACCGAAGGTCCCTCAACTTGTCACCGAGTTACAAAATCGTCCCCCAACCATAAAACCGATACAACACATCCCCTAACTTGTTTTGACCCGGTTTTGTCTCACGTGACGGCTGAGTCAGCGTGAGACCCACGTGGACCCCACATGGCAGGGTGTCCCTGTCAGCTCCTGCTCTCTTTCCTCTCTTCTCTTTTTTTTTTTTCTCTTCTCCTTTCCTCCCTCTCGCTCTCTGCTCTCGCACAGGCGACGGCGCGCGCGGCCGGCGACGGCGGCTCCCGGGTGGCGGCGCGCGGGTTCAGGGCGGCGCGCGGCTACGGCCATCATCACATCTCGACGACGCCGCCATCAGTCGCTGCCATCGGCGATGGCGGCACGCTGCAGTGGGCCATCCAAAACTTCATCCGCGCCAGTGACTACATCACGCTGTTGCACGTCTGCCCGCCAGCGAGGTTGCGCAGCCTACGCCTCGGCGGCTTCCAGCTCGCCCTCGCCTTCAGGGAGCTCTGCAACGGCATCGCGGAGGTAAACCCATCAATCAATGGTGGTAGTTGGCTCAACTCAAAACAAAGAAAGAAGCAAATCATCTTTTTAATTGTGAAATGGTATGCAGGCGAAGGTGGAGATAGTGGTTAGGGAGGGGAAGGTCGGGGAGACGGTGGTGGTGACGGTGAACCAGCTCGCCGCCACCACGCTCGTCGTCGGTCTCCACGACAAGATTCCTCAACTGAACTGAACTATACTGTACCGAAGCTGGTCCTCCACCACGCCGTCGTCTGGCCTCCGCATTCTGCAGGCCAACAACCCCGGCCTCGTGCACCGGCATGGAGGGCCCTAGGGGCGGCGAGATCGACGATGGCCGCTGCCCACGACGAGGTCCCCTTGGAGGCGGTGGTGGTCGATTCCATTTTTTCCCACATCCAGGCAGGTGGCGCGGCGGAGGTGGCGGCGGGATCCGCCGGGAGGTCGCGGAGGTGGGACGCCGCGGACGAATGGAGCGGCGGCGCGGCGGGCGACCAGGACGATGGCCACTGCGCCACGGCGGGATCCAGCGGGGACGAGGGGGACGACGACACCGACGAGGAAGAGAGGATCCCGTCGGGAGGAGCGGGCGCTCGCGCCCAACTCCTCGCCCACTGTCGTTGCCTCCCATCTCTTCCCCCGGCGGCAGCCGCCCGCGCCCAGCTATTCCCCCTTTGGCCACCGCCCGTGCCCAGCTCCTCGGTCGTTGTCGCCGACGCCCATCTCTTCCCCCGCCGCCCATGCGCGCGCGGCTGTGCTCAATTGACCAAGCCTTCCTCCCTCGGCGGCCGCCGACACGCCCGCCTCACCGGCCATCCCCCGCCAGCCGCCGGTGCGCGGCACTCCTCCCCTGTCGCTGTGAGTGAGAGAGAGAGAGAGGAGGATGAAGAGAGAGAGAGAGGAGGGGAAAGAGATAGAGGGCGCTGACGTGGCATCCTGACACGTGGGGCTCACGTGGGTCCCATGCTGACTCAGCCATCACATCGGATAAATGAGTGAACGGTTTTGTAAGTTGATAGATGTTATATATCTGATTTTGTGGTTGGGGGATGATTTTGTAATTCGATGACAGGTTGAGGGACCTTGGGTGTACTTTTTCCTCTCCCGGAATCAACTCGCCGCCCATTTCCTCGATTTACCGCCTTGTCTCATACTCTCATCTCATGGGGCAGGTAGGGTTTACTGCCCGGCGATCATCTCCGCCGCCGCCTCCGTCGCCGTCGCCGGCGACCGAGGCGAGGGCCTGCGGTAGCGACCCAACCCAGCCGCCGCCGCCGGCGAAACGCCGGAGGACAACACGCCGCGTCGTCGGCATCGACTCCCTCGGCGAGGACCTCCTCCTGGACATCCTCCTCCGCCTCCCCACCCTCGCCTCGCTCGTCCGCGCCGCGCTCACCTGCAGGGCGTAGCGCGCCGCGGTGGCCTCCTCCCCGTCCTTCCGCCGCCGCTTCAGGGACCTCCACCCGCCGCCCTTCCTCGGCGCCTTCGGCGACCCCGACGGCCACGACGGCCTCCCGGTCTTCCTCCCCGCGCGGCGCACCCGCGACCGGGACCGCGGCGGCGACTTCCTCCTCACCTGCCTCCAGGACCCCGACCACGACGCGCCCCTCCGCTGGCGCGTCGCCGACTGCCGGGACGGCTACCTCCTCCTCTTCAACTCCGACGCAGGATTGGTCGCCACCGTCAACCCCATGGCCCCGCGGATGACGGATCTCATCAAAACGCCCTTCCGGATCAACAATTCGGCCAGCAATGGCGCCATCCAAGACGAATCCTTGCCAATCTCCCTCGACGTGCACCTGATTTCCTCGGAAGAGGATCCCATGTCATTCCAACTGGTCTGGCTTTGCCACGACGAGTTCAGGGTTCAGGTGTCCGTCTTCTCGAACGACACAAGGGATTGGTGCTTTCTCCCATGGGTGGACATCGAGGAGAGGGTTTCTTCGCCGGATGTGCCACAAGATGGCACCAAATACTGGCTTATGTCCGGGATGCAAGCCAATGGCCTCATATTCTGGCCCTTCCAGAATGGGAAGCACATGCTGGTGCTGGACACTGGCACCATGGAGTTCTCCGTGTATGAGTTCCCAATATACTCTAAGCTCGTGCAAGGTTGTAGCTTCGGTGTCGGCGAGACCAAAGACGGCATCCCTTGCATTGCTTATGTCAATGGAGCCACCATTGTTGTGTTGATCCGCAGATTCGACAAGAAGCAGGGTGTTCAGGGGTGGAGGTTTGTCGACGGCGTCAATTGCGACGACGAGGCGGACCAACTGGGTATTAATGGTGGGCTTGATGTGGTGGCCATAAAGGATGGCTTTGTGTACCTGGCCGCGACAGGGATGATCCTTTCGCTCTGCTTAGAAACAAGGAAGCTTGAGAAGCTGTTTCCAATGAGTTTCCAGTTCCCTCTCCATCCCTACATCATGGCGTGGCCTCCTACTTTGGTAGGAAACTATGGGAGCTTTGCAGAGATCCAAGATGATATTAGCAATGTTTAACTGCTAGCTAGGTTAAGGTGGCAAATTTAATCTTTATTAATTGTTGCGGGAACATTGTTTTATTCAATTCTCTAATCAGGGGATCAACATTTTGGTGATATTATGCAAAAAAGAAAAAAATCTTTCAACTTCAATGGTTCCGGTACTCTTTATGGCTATATGACTCTACTGGTGGAATTTTGATGAGCTTTATGAATCAAACCTGATGACACCCTTAGCATTGTTTCTTTATTTGCGACATGTTAATTATTTATGTCTCTGGAAACAGAAGCAGTTTCAACTGCATGAGCTGCAGGGGTCATTTTATTTGTAAGGTGTAAAGTTTCTTAGGTTGGCTTCTGTGACAACTTTTAGGTGTTGGTTTGGCATTACAGTTTGATGTGTCTGTCTGAAACATCCTTGCTGGTTACATAACATGGACTGATTTGTATAGTTTTTTTTTCGCCGGGTCGGCAAACAGCCGACCGGAGTATATTAAGATGGAAGAAAGAATTTACAACTATTTACAAAGCGGGCGCCAGCCGGCACCCTGAACTTACGAAACACCTGTGACAGATACGGTCAAGCCCGCTTCTTGCCATGACTTCCACTCATCCTCAATGGTGGCACAAAGGCTCACCGGCAACGCTGCACGCCCCTCAAAGACACGGGCATTCCGATCTTTCCAAATCAGCAAGTCACCAAGATGACGCCTGCATCGAACGCTCTCCTATCCCTCTTCGTGATTGTTTTGCAAGCATCACACTACCAAGAAGGAAAATTCACCGCCGGCAATGAACAACGAAGGCCCAACCGCCCCCTAACATCGCTCCACACCTCCTGGGTATAGGAGCAGCCTTGAAAGATATGGGCACACGTCTCTTCCTCCCTGGAACAGAGATGACAGATGGAGGCGAGGTGCCAACCACGGCGCTGAAGATTATCGGTTGTTAAACAGGCCCCCTTCATTGCACAAAACATGAAGAACTTGCATCTTTCTGGAGCACTGGACTTCGCAATGGTCTTTCCAATGATGCATCATGTGCGGCCGGTGGAAAGCAAGGAATATGCCGACTTGACAGAGAATTTGCCATTCGCTGATAGCCACCAAGAAAACACATCGCTTGCACCTTGCTCTGGAATTAGGGGAGAGACTAAATCCCAAAGCGCAAAAAATTCCACTAGAGCTTGAGCTAACAGGCCACCTCTAATGTCATCCACCCATCTATTGTCCTGCAAGCTCTTCGCAACCGATCTCTTCTTGTCTTGGACAAAAGAAAAGAGAATGGGCATAAAGAAATCGAGCCTTTGCCAGGCATCCAATTGTCGGTCCAGAATAAAGCCTGCTCCCCATTGCCCAATATAATGGAACAGCCGGCTGCTAAACAGTGTGCCACCTTCTTGTCAAGTGGTGGCGCCATATTAGTCCAGGGACGCGCCAGATGCGCCCTCCGTAACCATGCCCATCGAGTACGCATGGCCACAACCATGAGCCGCAGATCTTTGATACCCAGCCCACCACTGTGAAACGGCAGGCAGAGCTTGTCCCACACAATGAGGCTGCACCCGCCCGCTGCGTTCTCATCGCCCTTCCACGATTTGTATAGTTTTCATCTCTGTAAGTTCTGAGTGATGCCGTTTATTTTGTTACTTCGATAATTTGATGCCAAAATATTTTAAGGAGGTTGTTGGCAACCTTGTGATGTGAAAATCTTGCCATAAGTATTTGTCTGGCTTTTTTCCCCTCGTTGGCAGAAAAACTGTTGTTTTGACTACATGCTGATTAAGCTTAGGCTGTGTTTAGATCCAAACTTTGCATCCAAACTTCCAACTTTTTCCATCACATCAACCTGTCATACACACACACTACTTTTCAGTCACATCGTACTAATTTCAATCCAAACTTCCAACTTTGGAAGGAACTAAACACAACCTTAGTGTCATTTACTGATCTGTTGTGGTGAGTCAAACCTCTGTGGTATGTTAGAATTTTCTCACTGATTTAGAGTCAGAGTCAGTCTCTCAGACTCCAATAATAATGGCAAATATTTGTCTGTGAATTAATATTGATCTTTGAGACTTTGACAGGAGAAGTGACCATACAAATTTTCTCTTGTCAGGTTAAATCAAATGGAGACAGGTTCTTGCCAACTTTACTAGAGCATTCCCCAAGACAGAAGACTCTGCAAATCTTTCTGCATGACTTGGAATTTCTTCTCCCAGAAAAACTACGGCTCTATTGTACTCCAATCACTAGCTCCACTGCTGGTTCTTCTATTCCCTGTCTGTCCTAGCACCACAGACAGACACAAGGCAAGCAAAGGTCCCATCCACCATCCATGGATGCCTCTGCTGCATCCATGCTCTGGACTCTGATCATCATCCTCGCCGCCGCAGCCGCTGCCTCCTCTGTCCATCCACCACAGCAGCAGAGCTATGGCGTCGGCTGCATCGCGGCGGAGCGGGCGGCATTGCTCTCCTTCAAAGAAGGTGTCATGGCCGACCCGCTGAGGCTCCTCGACTCATGGCAGGGTGCAGGAGACTGCTGTCGGTGGAACGGCGTCGGGTGCAGCAACAGGACCGGCCATGTCGTCAAGCTCGACCTCCGCAACACTCTCTACTGGGATGACCAGCGCCAAGTTAGACTGGACAACCCTCACGCCATGCGTGGACAGGTAAGCACCTCCCTGCTTGCCCTGAGGCGTTTGAAGTATCTTTATCTCAGCGGGAACAACCTTGGAGGACCGGGTATAGCCATACCATCGTTCTTGGGGTCTCTCGAGAGCCTGGTCTATCTCAACCTCTCCTGTATCGATTTCTTTGGAGAGGTGCCTACTCAGCTTGGCAATCTCTCCCGGCTGTCCTACCTCGACGTTGGCAGCATGTATTATTCTGGACAGATTTTCTCATCGGATCTCTCCTGGCTGGGACGCCTCTCTTCACTGAAGTATCTTGACATGAGCGGTGTCAATCTCAGCATGGTTTCTGACTGGGCTCATGTGGTCAATATGCTTCCCAATTTGAGAGTTCTCAATCTCGAACTGTGTCAACTCACGAGATCAAACCCACCACTTCTGCATTCCAACCTTACAGTTCTTGAGAAGCTCGTTCTTTCTTCCAACAACTTCTATGGACCACTTGCTACTAACTGGTTCTGGGGTATAACCACCCTTAGAACCCTCGAAGTGGAGTTCTGTTCCCTATATGGCCCTCTTCCTGATAGCTTGGGAAACATGACTGCACTTCAAGTTCTTGACATGCAAGATAATGATAATATCACAGGAATGTTTCCACCAACTCTGAAGAATCTATGCAATTTGCAAGAAGTCTTCACTGGGACTAACCTGAGCGGGGACATAACAGAACAGATGGAGAGGCTGCCAAAGTGTGCATGGGACAAATTGCAGGCATTAAATCTGGATGCAACCAACATGACAGGCAATCTTCCAGTTTGGTTGGTAAACTTGACCAACTTGAAGGACCTTAGTGTCTCAGGGAACCAGCTTAGTGGGCCTGTGCCTTTGGGGCTTGGAGCTCTTACTAAGTTGACTATATTGTATCTAGGCCACAATAACTTGACTGGTATCATATCAGAAGACTATCTTGCTAATCTTTGCAATATGGTTATATTGGACTTGAGCTACACTTCTTTAGAGGTTGTTGTGGGTTCCACATGGACTCCTCCATTCAAGTTAATCAGAGCACAACTGGCTTCATGTCAACTGGGTCCGGGATTTCCTATCTTGTTTAAACACCAAAAGGGCATTATCTACATTGATGTTTCAAATGCAGGCATAGCCGATGCAATCCCAAGTTGGTTTTGGGATGAAATTTCCTATGCATTTTATGTGGATATGTCTCACAATCAAATTGATGGAGAATTACCAGCCAAACTTGAAGCGAGGACAAGGCAAGAATTGCACCTCAATTCAAACCAGCTAAAGGGCTCAATTCCGCAATTACTCAGAAATATCACCAAGCTAGACATCTCTAGAAACTCCTTATCTGCACCATTGCCTTCAGATTTTCAAGCTCCGGAATTGGCAGCACTTGTCCTATTCTCCAACTACATTCCAGGCAGTGTTCCACTGTCCATATGTGATTTACAGATTTTTGGCTATCCTTGATTCTGAAGATTTGGAACAACAACTCCTTCAAATCCTTCAGTGCAAAAAAGAGAACTTCCCTCTCTCTTACCTTGGTCTGCCACTGTCAACACACAAACTTCGCATTCAAGATCTTCGCCCTACCATTGCGAAAGTGGACAAATACCTGGCAGGTTGGGAGGCCAGCCTCTTATCCTATGCAGAACGGATTGTCCTGATTAATGCAGCTCTTAATAGTATCCCAGTTTATGCCATGTCTGCCCTCAAGTTGCCTCTTGGAACGATCGAAGAAATTGACAAAAAAAGAAAAGCATTCCTTTGGACTGGAGACGATAGCTGCTCGGGAGCTCGCTGTCTGGTTGCTTGGGATCGAGTTTGCCAACCAAAGGAATGCGGAGGATTGGGCATAAAAGATTTGCACCTTCAGAACGAGGCACTCCTGATAAAACGTCTCTTCCATCTTCACCACTCGAACTCATCCTGGGCAAATTGGATTTGGGAGGAATTTTCGGACACCTCGTTACTTCACCTGGGAACACACTGGAGCTCCTTGCAGTCCCTCCTGCCGACGATGCGCAGGCTTTCCCTAGTCTCTATCGGCGACGAAGCTCACACTTCCTTTTGGTTTGACAACTGGCTCCCTGATGGACCACTATGTGACTCCTTTGCTGCCCTGCTCACGCACTCTCTCGACCTAGAAATAACAGTTCAGACCGTATTTCAAACAGGCCTGCAACACTGCTTCGTCCCCAGGTTATCCTCAGTGGCTCTAGCGCAGCTAGACGCTCTTCAGGATAAATTGCTTTCGGTCCATCTTCATGAATGCCCAGACTTCAGAGCCGCGAAATGTTCTCCTCAATTGCCAATCTTGTCAGCTAAACATATATATGAAGCCACTCAGGTCTGGCTGGATGCTTGTCCAAACTGGAAGTTCGTGTGGCATAACAAGGCACCACTCAAAGCTCAACTCTTCGCATGGCTCCTGGCTAAGGAAAGGCTACCGACAAAGCATAATCTGGTAAAGAAGACAATTGTAGCCTCAGATTTGTGCGATATTTGCAGAGCTGCATCTGAAACTGCAAGCCACATCTGCTTCCTTTGCCCCTTTGCCCGGCAATTCTGGATGACGATCGGCATTGACCCGCTTATTTAGGATGTTCGTCAACTCGGACGTCTGCGCCCCAATGGAAACCTGCCCGAGCTGCACCACCAGGTCTTCTATCTTCTCTGCTTATGGGCACTATGGAACCACAGACACGACGTTGTTTTCTGCAACCTGGATGCTTCAGTTCCGGCAGCAATTAGTAAATGTGTGGACGAATGTTCTCTCTGGTCTGAACGTCTTAAGCCTCCTGATAGAGCTGTAGTTTCAATTTGGAAAGGGATCTTCTCCTCCCCCTTGCAATCTCTTCATGTCATGTAATCTCAGTTGTAACCCTTACTCTATTTATTTAATGCAATTCAGGTGGGGAACCTCTCCCCTCCGATGACTTATCTAAAAAAAAAAACCTTCTAGTAGGAGAGCTTCCTCAGTGTAGGCTGGCAAGCTTGGGTATTAGTACTCTTCTTTTAGAAAACAATAGTCTTTCCGGTGAATTCCCTTCATTTATGAGAAGTTGCATGAAAATCACCTTCCTTGATCTGGCGAGGAATAATTTCCATGGAAGCTTACCAAAGTGGATAGGTGATTTGTCATCTTTGGTGATTTTTCGACTAAGGTCAAACATGTTCTCTGGTCAAATTCCAAGTGAAATCACAGAGCTTGAGGATCTACAATACCTGGATCTAGCAAAAAACAATATTTCAGGAATAATTCCACAATCTCTTGCAACCTTGAAAGGGATGTCTTCAGAGAATCAAGATCCTCGCCAAACAGGACTGAATGGCACTTTTGTACAGACATCTGAATGATTCGGAGAAGTCATGGAATTTGAATGGTATGATGATAGCTTGTTCATGGCAATAAAAGGGAGGGAACTTCAGTATAGCAGCCAGCTGAAGTATATGGTGAGGATTGATCTATCCAGCAATAATTTGGTTGGAAACATACCTGAAGAAGTTGGCTCACTAATTGGTTTAATAAACTTGAATCTATCTTTCAATCAACTAACTGGAAATATTCCATATCAAATTGGCGTTTTACAATCGTTGGAGTCTCTAGATCTCTCACACAATCAACTTTCTGGTGAAATTCCACAGACCCTGTCAAATTTAACTTCTTTGGGAGAGTTAAACTTGTCCTATAACAATCTTTCAGGGAGAATACCTTCAGGACCTCAGTTAGACACTCTCCACACTGATGATCCAGCTTCAATGTATATTGGAAATACTGGCTTGTGTGGGCACCCTCTTCCAAACAATTGTTCAGAGAATGAGACACCTCATGGTCATCCTATCAGAGAGGGCAACAATGATTGGTCCTCGGCGACGGGCGGCAGCGAGGCGGGGATGCAGGGCACCGCCGCAGAGAAGAGAAGACCCGGAGGATGATGAGGATGACGACGGGCGGCGGTGCCACGCTGAGGATATTCCACCACGCCGCCGCTCGCTGCGCGATGTCATCATTGGAAGGGGCCGGTCGGTTGAGTCGCGGGCGGCGGAAGGGGCGCGACACCGGAGCCGCACGCCGCATCCTTCCAGCCGCCAGCGAGCGCACGGCAATGGGCGCCAAGGCCGCTCACGGACCAGGCACAGCTCCCAATGCTCCTGCCGCTGCAGATCCCGTCGCACGCGCTCCCCAAGCTCCTTGACTCCTCGCGGTCAGGACGGCACGGGCGATGCAGGCGGCGCGACGACCAAGGTGGTCGCTGTCAGTGGCCAGGCTGATGGCGACCAGCAGCCAGTCAACGCTCTCGTGAGTCTCCCCGACCCTCTGATCCAGATCCTATGCTCCTCACCTCTCCTCCCCTTCTCAGACGAACAGGGGGACCATGACCCGATGCTGCCGCTCCTGGCAGAGATCGCTCCCAAGTCTTCACGGGAGGCGGAGAACGAGACGAAGAGGACGGGTGGGGAAGAACCGATACTGGGAGAGGATAAGGTGGCGTCGGCAGCTGAGTTGGGCCAGGAGAAGATGGGCCATCTCGGCCCAGATGCGCAGCAGGCCCCCAAGATGGACCTCCTCGCTCAGTCCACTCAAGATGACGAGGCCCAAGCTTCCACAGGAGACCAGCCCACCCTGGTGCAGCAGGCCGACTGCGAGGAGCAACACCAGGCCACGGTCCAGACTCAGCCCATCCACGGAGGAGAAGGTGAACGTGAAAAGGTCGTCTTATCTCCTCTGTTCTCACAGCTGCAGCCGCCGATCATCCTGCAGGCGCCGCTCGAGCTGGCGCCGCCCGGCGCGGCCAAGACGAAGGGGTGCGGACGCAAGGTGGTGCAGATGCCGTCACGGCGGAGCGGCCGTAAGGCGCGCTTCTCGTCGGTGCCGGTGTCCAAGCGCGCAGAAGTGCGCCTCATGGAGGAGATGGGGCTGCTCACCCCGGGTGAACCGGTCGGGGATGCGGCGGTGGAGGCTTATGCAAAGTCCTTCGACACACCACTTCCGTTGCATGTCATCGCCGGTCTGCGGGTGCTCACACGCCTGGATGGAGTGCACGACATGCCGGTGCCAGGAGAGGAAGGAACCACCACAACGGCGGTGGTCTGAGGCACGCGCTGCCGCGCCCTGAGAGAAGTCGTCAGCTGTCATGATTGTCCGCATCAGTGTTAGAGCTGCAGAAATGGTCTTCCATCATCATCTGTATGTATCCTTTACATTTCTCTGCGGTCTTAAGCCGCTGCTCGCTGTATGGTCGATGCGACTAGCGCTCCCATGCAGCAACGGCCTTAAGCCAGAGCTCCTTAGTCGGTTGATGCGAATAGCGCTCCCGGTAGACACCGGCCTTCAGCTGGTTAGTAGCAGAGTAGACAGGCTAGAAGATAGTGAAATTGCTTCTACATGGTCATGTTTGGTTTGTAGTTGTAGGTCATGGAAGAAAATATGTAGCCCTCTATCTGCTTATGAACTAATTCATTTGGAAAACACTATGGGATCGATCCTTTTGGAAAAAATTGTGTGTTATACTTCGCCCAAATGTTACAACATCTGAGAATTCTCAGTTGGAATGTTCGCGGACTAAATAACCCAGCACGAAGAGAGGCAGTCCTCGAAGCAGCCGAGCTGGCCAGAGCAGGCATCCTGTGCTTGCAAGAAACAAAATTAAGTAGTATAGACCAATGGATCGGCAAAGAGATTGGGGGAAACAGGTTGTCGAACTTCAATTTCCTTCCTGCCAATGGAACTCGTGGAGGAATTGCCATCTTCTGGGATGACACAATTGTTAACATGGCGAATTTCTCCCAAGGAACACACCATCTTTCGGTGATGGCAACGACCATAACTGATAACCTCAGCTTCATCATCATAGTAGTTTATGGACCCTCAGAAGACTGTGACAAGGAAAATTTCCTCGCCGAATTAGTCACAGCCAAGCCACCAACAGACACGCCATGGTTGGTCATGGGGGACTTCAACATCATATACGAGGCTAGGGATAAGAATAACCAGAATTTGAACAGGCATCTAATGGGGCGCTTCAGGTCAACCTTAAATACTTTGGAGCTAAAAGACATTAGATTGCAAAACAGGCAGTTCACTTGGAGTAATGAGCAGGGAAACCCGATTCTAAGCAAATTAGATAGGATTCTGAGCAATAGTGAGGGAGATATTCTTTTCTCTGGGCATTCCTTGCTAGCACTATCCACATCCTGCTCAGACCACTGCCAGTTGCTACTAGCACCAATGCAAGAACCAAAGAGGAAACCGAGGTTCCGATTTGAAAATTTCTAGATTAGAGTGGAAGGTTTCCTAGGCGTCGTAACCCAGGCTTGGAACGAGCCTATCCAGGAAGGTCACCCCACTTGGCGGCTAAGTCAAAAGCTCAGAAACACCGAAGCAGCCTTGAGGAAATGGAGCAAGCAAAAGTTTGGGCAATCAAAATTACAATTCGCTATGGTACAAGAACTTATCTACAGGCTGGATGTAGCCCTGGAAACAAGAACTCTGACAGCAGAGGAACACCAATTCAGGAAAGACCTCAAGATAAGAATTCTAGGGCTAGCAGCGGTGGAAAAGGCGAGGAAGAAGCAAGCATCTAGGGTAAAATGGCTAAAAGAAGGTGATGCTAACACAAGGTTCTTCCACATAAAGATGAATGCTCGAAGGAGAAAAAAATTCATTCATTGCTTGCAGCAAGATGGAAATACCCTGCACACACACGAGGACAAAGCAGCTCACCTTCATGCCCACTTCAACTCAATCTTAGGGACAAGAAGACAGCGTGGCTGCACATTAAATTGGGAAGCATTAGGACTGAGTACAATACAAGATGATAGCATGGATGAGCCGTTCACAGAGGATGAAATCTGGGAAGCAATTAAAAACTCTCCAAAGGAAAAAGTGCCGGGCCCAGATGGTTTCACTGGAGCTTTCTACAAGAGCTGCTGGCACATAATAAAAAAGGAAATTGTGGACGTTTTTGCAAGCTTTCACAACCTCACAGGGGGGAACTTTGGAAGCATCAACAGGGCCATGATAACACTGCTGCCGAAGAAAGACTCGCCACGCTCGGTGAATGACTTTAGACCCATTAGTCTGATCCACTCTGTGGCGAAGCTTATATCCAAAACTTTGGCAATGAGACTGGCAGCACTGCTTGGTGATTTGGTCTCGCATGCCCAAAGTGCTTTCATCAAGAAGAGATGCATACAAGATAACTTTCTCTATGTGCGCAACATGGTCCGGTCCTTGCACATGCAACGGAAACCATCCCTCTTCTTCAAGTTGGACATAACAAAGGCATTTGATTCAGTATCTTGGGAATACCTTGTCGAAATGCTGCAGTGGAGAGGCTTTAGTCAGCGTTGGAGAAATTGGATTGTGCTTCTCCTATCGACTGCATCATCTAGAATTTTACTCAATGGGATAGCGGGAGAACCAACTACACACAGGCGAGGTCTCCGGCAGGGTGATCCCCTCTCGCCCTACCTCTTCATCCTAGCAATTGACCCGATTCAACGACTACTCAACAAGGCCACGCAAGAGGGGCTTCTATCTCCGTTATCAAACCGAGCAGCGCAGTTCAGAATATCCTTATATGCTGATGATGCAGCGATCTTTATAAACTCGATCAGGAATGATGTCAACAACTTGATTAGCATCCTCAAGTTCTTCGGCGAGGCCACAGGCCTTCAAGTGAATCTGCACAAGAGCTCGGTCGTGTCCATCAAATGCGCAGAGCAGAACCTGTCTGAGGTGTTGGAAAATTTCAATGGACAGCGGGGCAATTTTCCCATAACATATTTGGGATTGCCGCTCACCCCAGGCCGCATCAAGAGAATACACCTGCAACCGGTGATGGACAAGTTGCAATCAAGGTTAGCGGGATGGAAAGGGAAGTTAATCCAGCAATCAGGGCGGAAGACGCTAGTCATGTCTGTTCTCAGCTTCATACCAACCTACTTCCTTACCGCCTTAAAGCCGCCTAAACAGTTCCTCACAGACATGGACAAGATTAGGAAGAAATTCCTCTGGGCCGGCGATCAAGAGATTAGCGGGGGGAAGTGCAAAGTGAATTGGAAAAAAGTATGCTCCCCAATAAAGATGGGAGGACTAGGCGTGTTGGACCTTGATAAATTCGCGAGAGCTTTGAGACTCCGTTGGCTATGGTTTGAGTGGGAGTGCCCTGACAAACCTTGGGTTGGGACAACACCCCCCTGCGATGAGTTAGATGAGCAAATCTTCGCGGCCGCAACAAAGGTAACAATTGGTAATGGGCGGAAGGCAAAATTTTGGACATCCAACTGGATTGGACACCAGCCGCTGAAATACCTAGCGCCAGCGCTTTTCAACCACTCTAAAGGAAAGCAACGCTTGGTTCAGGATGCGTTAACCAATGACAAATGGATTGAGGATATTAGGCATGAGCTGTCCATGCCACTGATCCGAGAATTCTTCGCAGTGTTCCGCCTTATCTGGGATAATGAGACAAACCTGGAGGAACGAGTTGAAGACACCATCACCTGGAGATGGACAAATACCGGTAAATACACAGCAAAATCGGCTTATTTAGCCCAATTCGCTGGTAGAAAAGACTCAAGGGCCGCCACCTTGATTTGGAAGACATGGGCGCCATCCAAATGCAAAAACTTTGCATGGCTTGTCCTGCAAAACAGGATATGGACATCCGACCGCTTGCAAGTCTGACAATGGCCCAATAACTACTTTTGCCAACTCTGCTACAGGAACTTGGAGACGGTGCAACATTTATTCAAGGATTGTCCATTCACGCGAGAAATTTGGGACAAAATAATGGCTAGGATGAACCACAACCAACCCTTCCCGGTGCACAATACGGACGAGAGCCTAGTTGACTGGTGGGAATCAAGAACAAAGCAACAAAGCAAATGTCAAAGTAAGGGGATGCAGTCACTGCACATTCTCTTGAGTTAGGAAATCTGGTGCGAGAGGAACAGGCGAGTTTTCAAAGATAAAAAACTTCAAATCCCTCAACTAACGGCAAGAATAATGGACGAAATACATACATGGTCGGCATGTGGGGCAAAAAATCTTGCGAGAATAGCGCCTTAACCTCTCATCCTAATTTTCCTTTTTTTCTGCTCTGCTCCCCCTGTCTTTCCCCTTGTCACCATTGGTGGCATTTGTACGGTGCTTATCTTCTGAAATATAAAACCAGCTAAGCTGGCTAAGGTTTCAAAAAAACAATGATTGGTCAACAGAGATGTCTTTCACTCTAGGAATAATCGTGGGGTTTCTGCTTGGCTTGTGGTTAGTATTTTGTGCTTTGTTATTCAAGAAGACATGGAGGATTGCTTATTTCCG